TCTCAAAAAAGAAAAAGAAAGAAAGAAAGGAGGGAGGGAGGGAGGGAGGGGGAGAGAGAGAGAGAGAGGAGAGAGAGAGAAAGAGAGAGAGAGAAAGAAAGAAAGAAAGAAAGAAAGAAAGAAAGAAAGAAAGAAAGAAAGAAAGAAAGAGAAAGAAAGAAAGAAAGAAAAAAAGAAAGAAAGAGAAAGAAAGAAAGAAAAGAAAAGAAAAAGAAATTATGGGCCAAAGCCATGTGCTTGTTTAAGGATATTTTTGAATTGTCCTCAAAAGAGGCTTCACCAAATTACCATCCAGGGCATATAAGATACTCATTTCTCCATATTCTCACCAACAGGATCTCATGAAGCATTGGTGGAAATGCTCTCATTCTGATACATTATTGACTAAAAGTCATTACATACTTGCTTAGGTTGTAAATTGCCTCCCTCTAAATCTACACGGAGAGAATTTAAGGTGTTGTCTCAGCTTGGTTCCAGTGTTATCCAAGCCATTAACCTTTCTTTTACCTTAGATTGTCACATTGTGGTATTTCAATTAAAAAACAGAAACGCAACTGGGTATTATTTTTATAGGCTGTTGAAATCTGATTTTTGCAAACCATGGGTTTGCTGTGTTGTTATGCTGAATGAAATAGGTGCATAATACTATTTATGCAATAGTTTTTCAAAATGAATTTCACGCTAGATATACCTTGAAAAGTTTTCCCAAAGCTATAAGAAGAGAAATATGATGGACCATTGCTCCAGAGAAAGGTTTTAAAAGTAAATTTCTGCTTAATGAATAGGACAGTGTACCCTAATCTCTTCCTTGCCTATTCCTCAGAGACCTCTTCTCACAAGGGCTAATGCTTCACCTAAGCTGTGAAAAGCCTGCTGTGAGCACTCCCTGTTCAGAGTCAGAAAAACACATATTAACTGTTCTATTATTTTCAGTTCTAGCACAATGTTCTCTTGCTTTTCCTTGCTCAGAATGGACCCTTGCTGGGTAGCATCAGAACGACGATTTGGTGCAACAGTTCTGCAAGAGGAAGTAGGTTCCTCTGCTGTCATGGTTTTCAAGCTTTTTTGACTGCAGCCCATAACAAGAAATAATGTTTTTTATTATAACCCAGTAGATACACTCATAGAGACAGACACACTATATTCATAAAAACAAAAATTCATAAACAATGTTTAACCTTATGTGTTAATAACATTTATCCTATGTTATTGGATCTGTTTTATTTCTTTTTAAGAAATGCTCATCACAGTCAACCAAAATGATTTCACAACTCCTTAAAGGATTTTGACTCACAATAATTTGAAAAACACTGCATTGTAGAACATTTTAGATCTCTTCCCAACCCTCAGAATCTGATTTACTTCATCATGGCCCCTGTGAGATAGCTTCAAGAATGTGAGTGACTCTTTTTCCTTTTTTCTTTCTTTACCATTTACTGTGACTCCCAAATAAGTGATTCTTTTGGCTTATTTGGTGACCATGGCAATTTCTAAACATAGAACCTAGAGCATTTACATCAGACCTGCCTAAAGCTTGTGTTTTAACCTTGCTTCTCTCCTTCCTTTCTTTGGCTATTTATTATTTTTTTCTATTGCTATTTGTTCAACCTGTATTTCAGGCAATATACAGGTATTGAGGCACCAGTGGTGAGTAAAAGCAAGCATGCATCCAGAGGTATATTGGGAATGAAAGGAGTTAATCCAAAAGCATACAGGAAATATTTTTTAAATTTTATAAATTCTGTGAATAAGTGTATGGCAATGCATGTGACAGGGGAACTAGATTTAATATGGCATGTTGGGAAAGCTTCTGAGAAGTGATGCTTGAGCTGAGACTTGAAAGGTGAAAAGATTATAACCAGGCACTGGACAACATCATGAGTGCAAGCACAGGTCACACCATATTACAAACTTCTAAGGCTGAAGGGAGCATGAATTGCTAGTTGGAGAATGGAAGGAAAAGATCTTCAAGATAAAGCTGGAAAAATAAACAGGGCCAGACCTAACAGGTTTCTGTTGACCACAGAAAGAAGTGGAGGTTTTTCAAGGTTGAATAACATGATAAAACTCGCATTTTAAAAATATAACTGCAGAGTAGAGAATGGATTGGAGAGGTCCAAGATTATGCAGACAGAGCTATGAATAGCCTGTTGCAATGGTCTGGGTTGGTCATGATGGAGTAGGGTGGAATAGGGTGATGATCTTTTGTTAGTTATCTTCCTTACTGAGCACACTCTGCAATGAATTTCAAATGCACTGGAAGCAGGCTTGTTAATTTTGGAGCTGTCCACTCAGAAATAAATAAGCCATGATACCCCACCAAAGAAAGTTGCAGAAATGCAATAGCGAGGCTATGTGATGAATGGTTGAGGTACAGGGAAGCTCTTATTCATTTAAAAAAATCAGATGGTGTGAAGTTGAATATTCTAGATATTGCCCAATTGTGTTATGTTCACATATTTTACTGGATATAGTTCAGGATAATAAAATATTTATCTTCTTTCCCTCTGAGAATTAAGAATCTGTGATGGAGGGCTTTAGCTCTGAAGTGTCAAAGGAGAAAGATGATTTTTAAGAGCCAAACCTGCCTCCATGATTAAATAAATTTATATTTATACTGGCCAAGGGATGCATATTGCCTCTTGCCTGAGCCTCCCGACTTTGATTAATAATCCCTTGCACATTCAAACAGTTATTAACTTGCCATACCTGTCACCTTTATCACTTTGTTCTTTGAATAAAAAGAGTTTAACCCAAGTCCCAGTAAAGATGTTCATTCAGGCTGAATTTAATAAATATATTCTGCTACCTTGGAGTTAAATGGAATAATAGGAGAAGAGTCCACTGGTCTGTCACCAGGTTTCTGAACTACACCTGACAGCCTAACATAGTCAACAGCAGGGAGTGAATCATGTCTGTTCTGTATGCTAACCTACTCTGAGTAGGTGGTTTGCATTGGCATCTAGTTATGTTTATGGTTAGTAGTATCTTCTCCTGACTTTGGTACCCAACCCTCACACACCTCATTATCTCTATCCCAGCTGCCACTCATCCCAAAAGACCTTGCTTACATCCCACAATCAATCATTCTTTCTATTACCTTAGCGGAGAAGAGCCTAAGGTGCAGCAGGTCCCAGGCATGATTACAGTTTAACCAGTTTAATATTGTTTACTGAATGGCCTGTAAAATACAGTGAATATCATTTGTGTTGCTGCACTTGGAAGGTTTATGTATCAAATTGCCTAGATCCAAAGACCTTTTCTCGTGCCCAATACACCTATGACAGAGATGACCAGCCAGTCATTGATTGAAATGAAGAATAATGTCTTCCAAAAGGCAATGCCAAGCATAGGTTTCTCAGGATTTTACAAAGCACTTTCTGTGTTTTTGTCTAAATTCCTCCAAGAGCTTAATTTCTGACATATTCTGTGTAAATCAGTCTTCAGTGATAAACAAAATTTTATTTATTAAACTATCAGGTGCTGTTAGTGTTCATTAGAATGTTACCACCTCAGATTAATACTTCATTGAATTTCATTTCTTTAGTTTGTAGGTACTGTTTTCTCCTTTAGCAGAATGGCAATTATAAAGAAGAAAATATCCTAAGTGTATTTCTCCCATCATTGATATTCTACGTTTATTCCTCAGCAAATAATTTGTCACTACGAAGTGATGTGCATCCCTGGGCACTGCTTGCAGGCACTTAATTCTTTGATTCAAATGAAAATTTAAAATGTGATCTCCATGACGTTATGTCTAAAGAAACATGTCAAAGCAGTGTTGACACAGAGAACTTGACTGTGACTAGAAATCATGGCTGTGCTTTGAGGGAAACAAAATAAATCACAGCAGTAGGAATGCATTTTTACAAGCTGCTGTGTACAGCAGGGGCCAATTCTGTTCTGTGTCTCATTATCTCTTCTAATTCCTCAGCCATATACTCCTTCATGTATGAAGCCGTGTCTGATCCTGCCTATTCAGTGACTGGGGGTCACTGCAGATTCATGCACAGGCTCCTGTTATGGGAATCTGGCCTCTGCCACCTTCTCCAGATGCAAGCTTTCCTTTCATACCTGTTGTTCCAGCAAATCCAAGCTATTCTCTTTCCCCCACTTGCACTAGGTTCCTTCCCATGTCTGTGCTTGCCTTCTTGCTACTTTTCTCTGGTATTTTTCAAATTTTACTTTTGTACCTGAAGAATGCTTTGGCACTACCATTTGTCAGTTATTTAACTTTGTGCATTTCCTCATGTGAATGGAAGCATGGGAGCAGCATCATAAGGAAGGACTGGAGTCGCACTTGCAGAATGTGTCAGAGCCCACAAATTCACTCAACAGAAACATCAGGAGATATTAGCGTTATTTTTTGGTTAGTACTATTATCACCATTCCTCAAAATTGAGCTCTGATCTCACTTCTTCTGAGAAGCTTTCCCTTACCTCACCATCCCAAAGACAGAGTTAATTACTTCCTTGTACTGTAGGCTTACTTCTTTATTGCCCTTCTTATATGTTTTTCTTATCATTAATGTGGGACATGATTTGTTATAATGTTGCTGGGCAATGACATTGTTAGTGTGGAAAAATTGGCATGAGAATGATTCAAGGAGTTCCCACAATTCATACTTTATGGGCCTCCTGCAAAATATGGTTAGGATGTGACCATTAGTGATAAATGGATAACTTGGGATCTCTTTATTTCCTGTGTTTTATTGCTATGTGAGCAAACAGTTAATGAGTGCTTACCGTATATCAAGCATGACAATAAGTATTATATTTATCGTGTTAATTCTTCTGCATGATTAAATGTGGTAGATATTATTCCCATGTGATACATGAGGAAACAAAAGGCCTAAGATCATAGAGCTAGTGGTAGACTTCCTACTCCCAAAGCTCTTAGCTCAAAAACACTCTGCTCTGATCTGTAGGGTCTCAGTTGCCTCTGGGGTTCCTTAATGTGTAAATAGATTTGACAAGTTTTCTTTCCTAATGCTATTCCAGGTATTCCTTTCAAGATGAAGAAGACATGTTCATGGTGGTGGACCTCCTGTTGGGTGGAGACCTGCGTTATCACCTGCAACAGAATGTCCGCTTTAAGGAAGAAACAGTGAAGCTCTTCATCTGTGAGCTGGTCATGGCCCTAGACTACCTGCAGAGCCAGCGCATCATTCACAGGTCAGTCAAGTCCAAGGAGACAGCCATGAACTCAATGCAAGGAGAGAATCCACAACTGGATACAATCATTAAATTCTTGTTGAACATGACATTTGATCCTCATTTAATTCTTCCAACAGTACCCTGAGATAGGTTGATTATCCTCATTTTGCAGACTTTTTTAAAAAACAGAACACATAGAGCTTGATTTGCCCAAGGTCATAGTAAACAACGAGATCACAATTAATAAATATTGGTACTATTTAATAAGTAAGCTTAGATGTAGAGGAGAAAAGGTGGCCTATAGAAACTTAATACATATTAAATAAGTAATTAAATGGAGGTAGCACATGGAGGGAAAGAAATAGAATGAAAAGAAACAAAGTTCTTTGGGAAGAAAGTTTGAGTCTTTCTAACATTTGCTGTCCTGGAGTGTTTTTATTAAATGAATCCCCAATGTGTGTGCTGTAAATGGAGGTAGAAAAAGCAATAGCAATGTCTTCTGCAGTTAAAGCATTTGTAGTAAATAAAGACGTACAAATAACATAAGAGGCTATAAAGCTATAGAGATAAAAGAAAAAGATAAAACTTTATAGTAAAGAAATTTGTAGTTTTAGTGATTATTTTATATTTAGTATCTCATTTGATCTCTGAAATAACCTGAGGTAAATGATCAGAGCAGATATAATTAGACTAAAATTACATATGAAAAAAATAATGGCTTATATATATTATCACCCAGATTTATTTATAAGAATTGTGATCCTAATCAACATCAAAACAACTACTGTTTACTGGTTGATGACTTACTATGTGCCAGGCACTGCTAGGTGCTTTATGTACATTATTTTATTAAATACTCAAAACCCAGCCAAGATTCCACATTTCATTATAATATTCCCATTACACAGACAAAGAACCATCTCAATTGCCAAGGACAAACAGCGTAGCCAGGATTTAAACCTAGATGCCTCTGACCTCAAAGTTAGAACTCTATGATACCAACTCATATTACTTACACATGTGAAATATATGCATTAATTGATTACATATTACTAAATGAAAAATCCGTGCATGTGACTCTGCTGCTGTCATCTCTAATCCTTGGAGAATATGCTGAGTACAATTATGTCTCAATTAGTAAAAAATTGGCCAGATAAAATATTTCACCATCACCAGTTGACATTTACCTAATTAATTTTTTTTAAACTTTTATTCATATATTTTTTATAGAAATGGGGTTTCACCATGTTGCCCAGGCTGGTCTCCAACTTTTGGCCCCAAGTGGTCCTCCTGCCTCAACCTCCCAAAATGCTGGGATTACAGGAGCGAGCCACTGTACTCAGCCTATAATTTATCTTGATGAGTACAGAGCCTATGGATGAAGGTGAAGCATCACAATTTCTCTGTGCAGGGACCACAGGCCAGTTCTTTAATATATTTTTATTTTTTTGGCTTTGGCCCTAGACATTAAATAGTTATTATTTAATGTACCTTCTTTGGAAGGGCCTGTTTGTATTGGAAATGTGCTTTTCAGGCACCAGATAAATGGAAAGCAGACCAGTTAATCATGTGGGATCTCAGAAATGAATTTGCACACCTGGTGTTTTGTCAATAACTAGAAATCCTGTTCTCAAGCACTTATCTTCGCAAACTGGTTTTCTGGTCCCTCAAAGCTCTTTCTGAGGAGAGACTCTTCATACTTGTAGTGTACGGAGTCCCTCTCAAAACTCTCATACTCATTCATTTGCCCCAAAATTGCTAACCATAGCCTATCTTGATTGTGACATCACAGGTATCAGAAAGGAGGCAGTGGCCGTGAAAAAGCAGTACGGCCTGAGCCTTTTTACTCTCTCCTTTTCCTGTTTGAAATAGGGTTCTGTTCCTTCTTTCTTTAGGCTTCATGTTCTTGGCCATCAAAAAACTAATTCTCCAAGCATTTTCACTATGTGTTTAGAACTGTGTTTCAAGAGGAATTCAGCAGGGAAAAACAACAACAAAACTTTTGATATGCTTTTCTCCCAAGGAGCTTACTAACACCAAATACTGTTTCTCTGTTCTTTCCCTCTTTTTTGTTCCCATCATCATTTTTCCACTTAAATAATAAAACAAGGATTAACTTTCTGGGGTTTTTTTGCTCTTTAGTCACACCCACAGTTATTACTTACTGCCTGTCCTCAGAAGGGCCTTTTTGTACTGAAATGTCTCTTCACCATGGTAAATGAACGGAAGGCAAACATGATGACATTTTGAGTGTTAAATTGAGGTGGCATCCTTCTGGCATCAAAAACTATTCAAGTGCATTTCTGTGGCCTATATGTACCTCTCCCCCTACCTCTCAGGTGTATATTTTACAGGCTGTAATAGCCTTTTGTACCTTTTCCTGAGAAGATGTGACATTTTAATTATTTCTTAATTCATTTATGTCTCCTTTGCAAAATGGTACACCCCACGTGTTTTGCTTTCTATTGTATAACTAGTATGTGAAACAAATATGATCCACATGAATAACTGATTGACCAGAAGCTCAGGTTTACAAATAAGAAAGATTGAAATATAGGACATTAAAGCCAAAAGTCTCAGACCTACTTGTACCTTGGTCTTTACATTAGAGTAATCATGTAATTTATCATCAAAACCAGGATACTCTGAGAGATAAAGAGGATGCTATTAGTATTAATAATTGTGCTGGGGAGAGTAAAAAGATAATGTAATCTGGGCAATTGGGGACCTATGTCAACATAATTAAGTCTTTTCAAGGCAGTGTTTTTTTGTAGAGACAGGGTCTCCCTATGTTGCCCAAGCTGGTCTTGAACTCTTGGGCTCAAGAATCCTCCTGGCTCAGCCTCCCAAAGTTCTGGGATTACAGACCTGACCATCATGCCCAGCTTCAAATAGACATTTTAATTCTAACAGTGTTCTGATAACCAGGTTTTTCTGCTCTCAGAATAGCAGGTATTAATTTGAAATGGTGTCAAATAGCTTTTTTTAAATGTAAATGGTAAAAGAAGCAGTGATTTCTTTGTCTAAGGAATTTAAATGATAATAACTGTGGCAATCTGAGACCAGGGCTCCTGGGCCAGAGAATGCAAAAAGAAATATAGAAGAGATACAGGCTTCTGAATACTGTAATTCTTTTTTTTTTTTAATCTCCTTCTTCAAAAGAATCAGCATGATTCATGCTGTATTTGACTTCAAGATAACAAAACACCTTTTTGTAACTTAGAAAGAAGATTGGGTTGTAAAACACATGCTGAGTTCCTAGAAATTAAAAGCGAGAAGGAATAAAAGAATCAATGAAAATATAGTAGATCTCCCAGACGAGGAGAGACCATCTCCATAAAACTGAAGACATAAAATATGTGACTTCCTACTTTTAGATTAAAATCTACATTTTGCCTTTGGACGTGGAAGAAGATTCAAAATTACCCATAAACAGTCAGCAATACTTGGAAGCAGGAGCAGCAGTAGGCTGCTGTTTACTAAGGGCTTCCTGGGTACCAGGCACTCAGCTAAGCACTTGTGAATTATTTCGCTTAGTCTTCCCTTAACTGCAGGAGGTTGATGGTGCTTTGTCCCCATTTCACCATCGATGAAACTGGTTCTGAAAAATTACTTGCCTAAGCTTGCATGGCTAGTAAGTAGGGGAAGCATCATGTTAAGGAAATGCAGAGCTCTAAACCACTCTCCAGCCTGCAGATGCTCAGCATAGCTGCAGCTCTGAAGGGAGCATGGGACATGTATGTGTGGCCACCTGCCTCAGACACCCACAGACAGAAGTGGTACCTGTGGAACGGACAGACAGAGAACAGCCTAAAACTAGAAGCTAAATTGTGTAACAGACAAGCACTTCAGGGAAGATGGTTTGGAGTAACAAAACAAGTTTCATGAGAGCTCTGAGAGTGTAAAGGGGACTTTCAACAGTCAAAGCACACGGCAAGTCTAGTCTAGCAAGGAGAGCTAAGTGGATGAAAGTTCTTACTTGTTTCCCTGTGTTAACTTAGAAGGGGCTCTTTTTTAAATTTTGTTTTCACTTCAGCTTTTCTGCCAAAAATGTCTAGCATAGTAATGTTTTAAAAAACACCATAGGATCTGTTTCTACCATAAATCTCCATTAAGACATATGTGGAGTTTTGCTTTATTTTGTGGATGTTTAACAATCTGTGAACTTTGATAGTTTCCCAAATATGTAGAATATTCAGCTAGTTCTCTTCAATTTCAGAATCTCTCTTTGCTACAGTTGTTAAAGACATCGGGTTGTATAATAACCATTAAGTTTGAATCGTGCAATTAGACAACTTTCTTGTTAGTCAAGATGTCACACTTTTTGTGTGAGTACAGCTTGAAAATCAGCTTTAGTTTCCAAAGTATGGCCAGTTTGAAGTATAATATTCTCTTTTGCTTACTTGAAATCTGCAAATAAATGCTTTAAAATATGGACCAAGTGATTATTTACTTTTATTTAAAAATAAGAAAAACAAAACTCATTACAGTCTCTTCTGTGAGGGTAGTACTATTCTATTTGTCGATTGCTGAAGTCTCTCCAAAAAATAATCTGATGGAAAGTAATCATTCAATATTATAATCCAAAGACAAATTTCTGTTTACTCCCTTGTTAGATCTTAAAGAAGTCTCAATTATGAATTTAAGCTAATGAGATGAATTGTATGGGACAATTAAATAGTAAGTCATCTTGGATCAAAGTGCCATTTGAGTGGATGGTTGATTGTTTTTCTCTCTTTCTGAGAATTACCCCCCACTAAAATGAAGTTATAACTCACTGTTTTCTAAACTTTCATAGGAAGGAGATACAAATCTAATTAGGGCAATTTGTTGCAGTACAACAAAGAGATTTGCAAACATTTCCCATTGAGTACCGAAACGTTAGCGAGAAATAAAAGAAAATTTATGGCTGTCTAGAAAAACACAGGATAGTATTTTTATTTATCACCTCTGCCTTCTTTGCCATACTCATTGGAACTCATAACTGATTCCAGATTCATCCTGATGACTGTATAAGA